AGTCATTTAATGTTAAACAACAATTATTAATTATTGTATAATCAAACAATTATATTTATCAAATTCACTGTTACTATCCGGTACTCACTTTTTGCTATCCGTTATTCGCTAACTGCCACCCACTACCCATTATCTGTTATCTGCTATCCACTACCCGCTATTTGCTATCCACTACCTGTTGTTTGTTGAATTTTAACCGCTATATCAACCAGGTCTTAGCTTACACAAAAGTATTTTTCAATATAAATGTAACTTTTTACAGCTTAAATACTTAAATTACTAAAATATTTTTAATGAAAATACTCTTCATATTTATTAATTAATAATATATTAATAATTTTAGCACCCAAATTATACAAAAAATATAATCTATACTGAAAAACACCATTGTCTTAACTTATGTATATAGCAAAAACTTACTCCATGTCTCTGTTGTTTTTTTTTTTTCTTCACATCTTTATGCAATATACTGTCACTGCGCTAGGTTGTGTAATCTGCTTTTGGGAATTAAATTTCCCTCTTTAATTTTAATATATACCATTTATTAAGAATTTGAGTCACATTAAGGTGAATTGATTGAAAAAGACATCACCATAAAATTATGCAAGTAAATTAAATAATAATAATATTTTTTTTTAAAGGAAAGAATTCCAAATTTTGCCACGTTATCCTTAATTTTAAAGAGCAGTGCTAGGAGCGCTTGCCCATTGCATTCCCACCAACAACCGCTGACCAACTTTGTACCGTTGTCCTTACTTTTAAAGTGAAACCGGCAAATTAGAATTAGTAGTTATCAAATTAAACTAAAAGTGTTTTATAAAAATAAGGTTTTTTTTTTTTACTTTTAATAAAATAAAGAATTTTTGCACTTGACTTTTGGGCCACCTTGGAAGTCCAGTTCCCCCTTCTCTGGTGGTTTCGAAGTTCGAATCACATCATTGCCATTTTATTCAAAAAAACTAAAATAAAAAATTTTTAAATCTTTATTTCCACATCTTTTTCCTTGTTTCTTTTTAGTCATTCAAAATAAATCTCATTGAGTAATTTAATATTCAGTTAAAACCTTAAATAAATATTTAATGGATCCCTACTCTTAAATGTTCTACTCTATCTGCTGAAACTCTGTTAGTCCTTACATAATTCCATTAAAATAACTACATAGCACCACATAGGTATCACATAATACAAGAAAATTAAATTTTAATGCATAATCAACCACATGTCCCTTACTTTCTTAACTTTCTTTTCATCTTGGTTACGCTAACTAGATCTAAAAAACGAATACAACTTCCTACATTAAAGTGCGCACTTTAATGTATATATGAACAAACAAGATTATGGCCAGACATCAAAATGTTATGACCACTCAAACTTTTAAATATTGTATTTTAAAAAACTGATTTTGTTTAATTTAATTGTTAAAAATAGTTGATAATTGTAATTGTTAATTGATAGATGACAAAATAGTATATATTCATTATTTAATAGATTAAATTCAGTTTACATACTAATATTTTCAAATATCATAACTAATTATTTACAATATATATATATATATATATATCAAAGTTTGTGTGGCTTTAACAATGCTAGCATGGGGCTATAACCACAATTTAATTATATTAACAATTAATGGACCAATCATTAAATTTAGCTAAGCAAATTAATGAAAACATAATATGCAACAAAATTATTATATTTTCCGTTGCCTTTTTATATAGTCTAGACTAGAAGTTGGAACTCGTTTAAAAATACCAATAACTTGAGATTTAACTTAACTCAGTATTTTATTAATACTTGACTTTTATTTTCTCTATATATAAAAATTAGTTTCTATTTGTAATAATTATTGTTACTAAATATTCTGCCAGGAATTTTGTTGGAGGGAGTGTACTTATTGGAGAACAAATCAAGTGCAGCAATCAAGTGAATCAAGGCTTGAAGATCAAAGAGATTCAAGGACATAAACATAAGGAGAAAATCAAGGAGAGCAGTATCAAGGAAGAAATCAATCAAGTTAGCAACGGTACAGAGAATAATAAGGCTATGAAAAGTAAGGAGAATGTGGAAACTAACAGAGCAATCCAAGGGAAGAATCCAAACTGAAATACAAGGAAAGAATCCCAGAATTATCTCAATATGACCGTTGGTCACTCAATGTACTCTGCATCTTTTGCATTTAGTTTGACAGCAATGATTCCCAAAATCATGCCTTAATGTAAGATGTTGTAAATAATTTAAATAATGCAAATATTTCTTTCTCTCCTCACCTCGAGAGAAACTTTTACAGATTAAAGTGTCAAAAAGCGTTTTTAGTACTATACCGGCAAAACCTAAATCTAAGAAGGCTAGGGCCGATTAATTTCATGGAAAAAGGTATTGCATATAATTCACTTAAATGTTTTTAACTTTTTATCATCGTTACTATAGGAATGTTCCGTATTGTTACTGTATATGGGAATATTTGTATTGTCTTGCACAGTTTGGATTGTACAAAATTAAACCTAAGAAAAGAAGGGTCTTGAATTTAAGAGTCTTATTTCTCAATCAAGTATTTATTTATAATATGGTACAATTTAATATAATTTGAACCATACTTTAATCATTTTTAGTAGTTTTAATTTGATTTTTTTTTTGGATAATAATTTCATATGAAAATTTAACATGCTAAGCTTTTTTTTTATGAAATTGGTTTGAGTGGCTAGATCACTAGGCTTTCTTTTGATATATTACATTCTTTAAAGGTTTAGAAATGAGTAAGATATAAAGACTCAAATGTCTAGGATTTGATGGGGCAATTGGGTTTGTTCTTAGGTTACCTCCAGTTTACCTCCAGGCCCAATATTGGATTTACAATATGGACCTCCAGTTTACCTCGCCTACCGTTTGGCCCATTTTTTCTTTTTCTTTCTTTTTTTTTTTTTTTTCCTTTTCGTTTTCTTATTATTTTAACTTTAATTATACTTAATTAGAAAAGTATTTTGTATAGCTGTCGCACGTTTTCTTGCCAAGGAAACTTCTCACCTTGGTTCGGTTGTTGATCAATTACTTGTGCCATAGCCCCCGTTGGCCTCTTCTATCCTTTGTTCCTTCAGATTGAACTCGCTCACCCGTTGGAGATCACCTCAGCCACTTCATGAAATTGAGTTTAATTCTGGAGTGTTCTTTCTCTAGTTTTCTTTCATTTTGACTCCGCGCTTGATTTGAAAATCTCTTGTTAATTTATTAATGCTGTATTGTATTCTATTTAGGGTTGTGTTGTGTGTTGTTGTTTGGAAACATGTAATTGAATTCAGGAGAATAATATATTACCATGTGTGATGCTAAGGAAAAAAATTCAAGGATAA